TTATTTTGAGGGAGAGAGCAAGGAGGGGAGAGGCAGAGAGAGAGAGGGAGAGAGAGAATCCTGAGCAGGCTTTGTGCTGTCAGCACAGAGTCTAACGCAGGGCTCAGTTTCATGAACTATGAGATCATGACCTGAGCTGAAAGCAAGAGTTGGACGCTTAACCGACTGAACCGCCCAGGCGCCCCGTATACTCAACTGTTTCTTGACGTAGCTAACCAATAGTGATACCAATTGCACTTTATTGAGCACTTATTATATACAAGATGATTTTTCTACATAGTTTTACTTAATCCTTAGAACAAACCAGCAAGATGAATTTTGTTATTTTTGCAGGTGAGGAAACTGAGGTCCATACAGGTTAGGTAACTTGCCATGTTGAACATAATAGTTTTCAAAAGGTTTAGCAAGTTCTCTGACTTAAAAGTTATTGCACGTGCTTCTAGTAACAACTACTTATTAAGTACCTTCTATTCTTTGGGCACTATGCTTAGCAGTTAGTGTGTCTTTTTTGATTTAGTCTTCACAAACACTTTACAGTAAATATTATTCTGTGTTACAGAATAGGGAAACTGAAGTTCAGACAGGTAAACTAACTTGCCCAAGTCCAAGAGTTGAAAGGATAGGAGATAGTATTCTGATCTTGGGCCTTCTGACTTCTGTTACCAAAGCTGCTTCAATACTTTGCAGGACTATAGTACATTCACAATTGTGAATACAATTAAGAAGTGCTGTACTATAAGGTTAGAGAAAGAGAACAATAGTTAGCTATATTTTCTCTTGACCTTTAAGGCTTTAATGTATTAATATAAAAACTGGGAGGACCTTTAAAAGTTTTTTTATACATTAGGTAATTTCATTGATATGGAATTATTCTGGTTTACATGTTACTGAAAGACTTGAATAGCTTAAGTAGTAAAATTTGATACATTTTAAGTGTGGTCACCTTTTTTTCCTATTAGTCTTCTTTATTATCAAATAATTAAAGATCATTGTGCATAATGAACTTGAGAATCTGTTACAATCCCATAGTCTCCTGCAAACCCACAAATGTAAATCACTAGTTTGGAGGTATTCCACTTCCTGGAGACTGGAAACTGTCATGTTCTTCCTTTCTCTCCTTTCCCGTTCCCTAAACCGAAATTAGACACTGGCCTGGCTTAGGAACTTTATTGGCCACTGAAAGTTCTGATATTTTCAGTCTGATAATCTTAGAACTTTGGAAAAATAAAGATAAGCCAGGATAGAAGAAAGGAACCTGAGGTGGATGAAGGACTAGAGACTGAAAGGATCCTGGAACTGGATCTTTGTGACTTTTAGAAAGTTAATGATTCTTCTCTGAGCATCATCAGTTTCCTTTTATGTAGAAATAGTTTTTATTTTGATCAAATTCTAAGGAGGTTTTATATTATTTTTTTCCAGGTAGGTAGATGTCTCTGTCATTTGCATTAACTTCTAGGTAAATATAGTAGGTTTTGAATAAATTATTTTGGAGCCTGATACAGGGACTTTGTGATATTTTACATGTAGATAAGATACGTTTCAGCTGTTTGTGGCGATCTGACTGCTGTATTTCAGTCGTTCAAAAATCATCCTTGGGGAGTGGCTGGCTGGTTCACTTGGTGGAGTGTGTGACTGTTGATCTCGGGGTTGTGAGTTCCAGCTTTGGGTGTAGAGATTACTTAACAATAAAATCTTAAATTATCTTTGGAAATATGAGATATTTCTAGATTTTAATTTTAGAGATGTTGAGAGCCACCTAAGAGTGGCTCTTTGTATTTACTTTGGTTTTTGGCACCTCATGAATCTGTAGCATGAGTGTTTCATCAGTTCTGAAAAAAATTTTGATATTCTTCAAATATTGTTTCTGCCCCATTCTTTTTCTCCTTCCCTCTGTGACTCCAGTGTAATCTATATTCTACTTTTTGTCATGTTCTCTATGTCTCTAATGCTTTTCCTTGTCTTTTCTATCTTTTTTTTGGGGGGGGGTCTCCTTATTCCATTCTGGATAGGTTTTCCTTGCCTGTGTTCCTGTTTACCAATTCTCTATTCAGCTTTGTCCAGTTTGCTTTTAACCCCATCTATATTTCTTGATTTCAGCTATAATATTTTTAGTGCTAGAATTTTTTTTTTTAATGTTTATTTTTGAGAGAGAGTGAGAAAAAGAGAGAAAGCTGCTCTTGCTCACATGAGTTGAGGAGGGGCAGAGAGAGAGTGAGACAGAGAATCTGAAGCAGGCTCCGGGCTGTCAGTGCAAAGTCTGACATGGAACTTGATCCCACAAACTATGAGATCGTGACCCTAGCTAAAGTTGGACCCTCAACTGACTGAGCCACCCAGGTGCCACAGTGCTAGAATTTTTATTTGATTCTCTCTTTCTCTCTTCTTAATAGAGTCTCTTTTTTTTTGGTGAAAATATCCATATTGTCACCTATTTTCTTGAACATATCAATCAAGTTATTTAAAGTCTATGTCTGAAGACTCTAATATCTGGATCACCTGTACATTGATTTCTGGTTTTTTTCCCTTTTTGGTTAAGTATCTTGTTTGATAATATACTAATTATTATTATATGTAACTATATATAGTTCTATGTTATATGTTATATAATTATTGTTACTACTATCATCACCACCATTTTGGGGGGTAATTTTTGGTTAAATACCAGACATTACAGAATTTTAGATACAGGTACAAATTACAGTTGTGTACCTAATGATATATTTCTCTAGAGGAGATTCACCTGTCTCATGGCAGGCAGGTGGAATAGAGGCACATCACCTCAATTGGACCTTCAGTCAAGAACTGAATAGACTTGGGCGCCTCAGTGGCTCAGTCGGTTAAGCGTCGACTTTGGCTTGGGTCATGATCTCACCGCTCGTGGGTTTGGGCCCCACATCAGGCTCCGTGCTGACAGTGCGGGGCCTGAAGCCCACTTTGAGTTCTGTGTTTCCCTCTCTCTCCACCCCTCCCCCACTCATGCTCTGTCTCTGTCTCTCTCTCTCTCTCTCAAAAATAAACATTAAAATTTAAAAAAATAAAATAAAAAGAACGCACTTGAAGCTGGGTTTTTGGTTTTGTAAACCTCTAGTTTGCCTAACTTTGGTAGTCCTCCCAACTGAGAGACTGGTTGTTTCTAAGGCCTCTTCTGCTTGTCTCTGCAGCAGCGTGAGAATCCTAAAAGCTCCTCTTTGCTTTTCAGTTGCTTTCTGTGGACTTTTTAGCCTCTGCTCTGTGTATACAGTTCAAGACTTGACAGGTGCCTCAAGGGGGAAATCAGTACACAGTGTCTGGCTTGTTCTTGTGTGCCTCTTTTCACTATAGGATCTTGACCTGTTAAGTCTTGGATATAATGGTAAGACCCAGTTTCCAAGTTTTGTCCTCCTGGCCGCATGAAAATTGCCAGAAATTCTGCTGATTTTCTGCCTTTTAGTTGC